TATATATATATATATATATATATATATATATATATATATATATATATATATGTGTGTGTGTGTGTGTGTAGATATAGATATAGATATCTATATATACATATTTACCTACATTTATATATGTATATATATATATATATATATATAAATATACATACAAATATAAATATAAATATAAATATAAATATAAATATAAATATAAATATAAATATAAATATAAATATAAATACAAACACAAACACAAACACAAACCCAAACCCAAACCTAAATATAAATATAAATATAAATAAAAATAAAAATAAAAATAAAAATAAATAAAAATATGTGTGTATTGTATATAGGGACCGAACGAGTTTGAGTAGTGCGAGTGCAATAACATTAATAAATGTATATTTAGAGTGTCTCCGTTTTAAAATAAAAAAAATAGGAGACACCGCATTAACTTTTTTATGTTTTCCTCTTTCTATAGAAGATATAATACAACTTGCTGCTGCATGCGAAGCAGCAGATTGTATTGATATACTAGCTGAAGCTGTTCGGCTTCTTTGTGATTGCGCTTTCGCACTCTTCTCCGGTATCTCCTCCTGCTGCTGCTGCTGCTGCTGCTGCTGCTGCTGCTGCTGTTGCTGCTGCTGGTGGTTCTGGTGGTGGTGGTGGTGCTGCTGCTGCTGCTGCTGTTGATATACTAGCTGAGGCTGTTTGGCTTCTTTGTGATTGCGCATTCGCACTCTTCTCCGGTATCTCCTGCTGCTGCTGCTGCTGCTGCTGCTGCTGCTGCTGTTGCTGCTGCTGGTGGTGGTTCTGGTGGTGCTGGTGGTGCTGCTGCTGCTGCTGTTGATATACTGGCTGAGGCTGTTCGGCTTCTCTGTGACTGCGTGTTCGCACTCTTCTCCGGTATCTCCTGCTGCTGCTGCTGCTGCTGCTGCTGCTGCTGCTGCTGCTGCTGTTGCTGCTGCTGGTGGTGGTTTTGGTGGTGGTGGTGCTGGTGCTGCTGCTGGTGATATACTAGCTGAAGCTGTTAGGCTTCTTTGTGACTGCGCTTTCGCACTCTTCTCCGGTATCTCCTGCTGCTGCTGCTGCTGTTGCTGCTGCTGCTGCTGTTGCTGCTGCTGGTGGTGGTTCTGGTGGTGGTGGTTCTGGTGGTGGTGGTTTTGCTGCTGCTGCTGCTGCTGCTGTTGATATACTAGCTGAGGCTGTTAGGCTTCTTTGTGACTGCGCGTTCGCTCTCTTCTCCGGTACCTCCTGCTGCTGCTGCTGCTGCTGCTGCTGTTGCTGCTGCTGCTGGTGGTTTTGGTGGTGGTGGTGGTGGTGGTGCTGCTGCTGCTGCTGCTGCTGTTGATATACTGGCTGAGGCAGTTCGGCTTCTCTGTGACTGCGCGTTCGTGCTCTTCTCCGGTATCTGCTGCTG